AAAAATATTTTCTCTTGTGCAGAATTCACATGCTTTTCTTTGAGAATTGCCCTGTTTTTAGCACCTACCATCTTCCCATCCTCTCTGAACAGCTTCTTTTTTGCTCCTAAAAAAAAAAGAAGGAAAAAGAAAGAAAAAAAGAATGGTTGCTGTCCCTATCATGTTACACAATGGCTCTGGTGTGTAAAGAGTAATGTGCAGTGTTTGTTTTGGAACTCACAGAGGGTTGCATTAAGGCCAAAACTTTTTAATTTTGGTCTCATTTGGTCGCATTTGAGCACTTTTTTCACATTCATGTATATTTTGGCAAGCCACCATATTAGTATTTAGTGATTCACCTAGAATTATTTTCTAATTTTCCTTCATATTTCTATATTTGAGAGATCTTAGTAAATTTTATTATGGTCTGATATTTTCATAAAGAATCAGTGCTGCATCAAAACAATTATTTTCCCCGAGTTAATTGAGTTTTATTGAATGATATACTCACAAAAGGTTTGACTTGTAAATGGAAAGAATATCTATCAGAAAAAAAAAAATGCACAATAGATAACTCAATCCTTTTGAGAACAAAGAATATATAATGCGAACCTGAAATGGAGAGGACTAAATGTGAAAATAAACTTAACATACAAATCATTAACATTTAAAAATCTTACAAATCATAACAATATATTCATCAGTTTACTTTCCTTGCACTTACATCACAGCTGATGATCTAAGGAAGACAGTCGAAATCAAAGGTTGAGGAATTGCAGGTTTAACTTCCTGAGATCAGTTTTTTCTCTAATCAAAATCTCTTGAAAAGAAAGTCACTAGTTCTATATTGTCTTATAATCTACCACCCAAACTTTACAAAAAATAAACAAATTCTCAAGAAAAAATTATTGTAATTTCTTTTACTGAGTTATCTAATGTCTAACTTAGAAAATATTATTATAAGCATGTAGTGATAATTTACTAAAATTGTTTATAAATGCATTTATAACATTTTTCAAAAGACTTACAGATGTAGAAACATTTGCATGAACCCCTGAAACAGATGTGTATCAATATTAAAATAATCTAATCTTTTAATTTAATAAGGATATTTTCAGAAAAATCTAACCTTACTACTATTGCTAGTATTACTATTAAATAATAGTATTATAGTATATTTATCTAGAATGGGAGAAAAATTGCTATACTCGTGGCTATTGGTATCTATAAATCCCTCTAAAATAAATGTAGCTAACACATTTTAGTTTTAATGCTTTCCTTTTTCATCCAAGTTTCTGGTAACAACTTACTGGTAACCTATTACCATGGTCACTGATTCTTCATAACTCACATAAACAAGAACATTTGGAGTTTGGTCAGTTCTACCAGGACTTTAACTGGAACTGTTTCTTTTGACAAGAAAAGTTGATTTTACATGAACAAAAGAATAAATATGTAGACCTCATTTCTAATATCAAGTAAATGTTGATGATGATGCTATCATCCTGTTCTCGTGATAAAGCCTGGTTAGATATCCTTGCATTATCCAGTCTTGTGCCAAGACGTAAGATTTTATAATTATATGCCCTAAAGAAAAAACGGTCAAAGATCAATTTCTCTGTAGAGTCCAACTTTGTGAAATCTTACAGCAAAGCATTAAATCTAGTGAAATACTGTTATCCAGATTATTGGCTGTATGACTTCCAACAATCTTTCCACATATTATTTTGTTAAAAGTAATTATTTCTTTACATAGAAAATTTTTGCACCAACTGTGCGTAAGGATTGGGCATTTCTACATTGTTCAGATTTTTAAATGCGTCTGAAGTTTACTTATTGTTTGTCCAGTCTACTCTACAGTAAAGGTGGCCCGCTCCGAGCTGGACTGGTTCACCAACATATCATCCTCTGCTTTCATGGAGTTCAGAAGGTACTTGACTCCAGTTTTCACACCGGTCTTCACCCCTGCCCCCAGCGCGTAGCCTGCCACCCCAACAGTCCCGCCTGTGGCAACCATCAGGGCATCTGTTCCGAGGTCCACAGCACTGAGGATTGCTCTCTCCTTGGCTGTTGCAGAGCAGTTGACCGAGGCATAGTACACAGCTGTGCCAAGGTTGTAGAAGGTGCTGACCACAGGTATCCACTCCACTACACTGTACACTTTCTCCTCCTCCTTGTTGATGCAGCTTCTCTGGGGGCTGCGCTTTATCCGCTGACTAAACGATCTGGTAATCAAAAGTTCCTCCTGGGAGCTGCACTGACGGATCCAGCACTCACCCTCAAGGGAGGCGGATGGAAAGATGCGGCTACCTTTTTTCAACACTGCTTGGTAGAACCCAGGCATGAGGGGCCCTCCACTGGTCACACCAGCACATAGGGCCCCAAGTTTTTCACAGCTTTTGATGGCGTCCTCCAGTCGTCCTGCAGCTCCTCTCACAGTACTTCCCAATAGCATGGTTCCATTCAACCTCTTCCAACCCTCACAATGGCCCTCCTGTGATATGACGGCGCCATCTCCTTCCAAAGCCAGCTGCTTAACATTAAACATCAAACCATCTATATGCTGGTTTGTTTCTTCTCTGTCTGAAGGCAGTGCTGTAGATGTTGGTACTGGTCTAAATTTAGACCTGTTCATCTTCTCATCTATGAGTGCAACCAACTCCATCAGAAGCTCCTCAGTATCAGCCTTTCCCAACAGGTCGTATAGCTTCATAACCAAGGTTTGAGCTTCCTGTGAGCATCCTGAGATCACCAGGACAGGCACTAAGGAGAGGCCCATTAGTTCCTGAGGGAATACAGATGATAACGGATCATCCATGGCACTGGCAGACAGCAGCTCCTCACAGCTGATGTTTCCATGAATGTGGAGGCGGTCCTGAATGTGGTCCTGAAGTTTAGCTGAGAGAGCCGATGTCATGAGTTGAGCAGACAGGACCTTCTCAGCATCTTGTGAAAGAGTCAACTTAGGTTCAAGTTTGTCTGTTAAAGAAAGAGCTGGCAGAGGACTAGAAGCCAGGGGAGCATAGTTTTCCTTTATCTCCTCAGCATCGCCACCAGGTGAAGTTTCTTGAAGCAGATTCTTTGTTTTGGGCACTGTCGATGGAACTCTGCAAAGGGTTTGATCAGTTAGCAGGAGCTGGATCAAAATCAGCCACTTCCACTTGGAGAACATATTTCCAGTCTTCACAAGTCTTCCTCCAAGCCACTATGAAAAATAAAAAAAAGTTTAACCAATTAAAGGATAAACACTGTCCATGAAGAAAAACAAGTTTTCTCTTAATTATACATGGAAATATACAAGAATCTCAATTTTTTTCTAAATGAAGCTTATCTTGCAGCCTTTGCATCAAGGTTTTAATTTACACAGAGCTCTTGTATAACTAATAACAGAGGTTGCCCATGACAGGACCTGTTAGATTCCTGTTAGGTTTTTTTATGATTAGTTAGTTTGATCAATTCTTACATTTTTTTTCTCTTGGTCTGTTTTTCCATTCATTGTCAATTAAGCCAGCTATTTTTGTTGAGAGCTGCTGTTTACAATCTAAAGTCATGAAGTGATCAGTATACGTAAAATAAAGGGATGTGATGACGCACTTCATTTGCTCGGTTCATCAAAGTAAACACAAAGTGCTGATGTCAGCATGTCAATATCAGTTTTTCTGATGTGCAAGTGAGCAGCAGTTGCATCTACCATGCTTGGTTTATCTATTTTTCCATCTGATCTTGCTATCTCTTACCTCCTCTGATGCCAAAATAGGAGACAATTAAATGGAAATTATGTAAAAGTCATAGAAGTTCAAAGTTAAGACAGATTACTTTGAAACAGAACAAATGTATCCAATTTAGGATTATAAATCAACCCAGTTCTGATTTGAAAAGTCTAATCTTTCAGACTGTAATTAAATTTGGATACATATCACATATGTGCCGGCAAGTCACATTTGGGTCATTTTTATCCAACAAGCTGATCTGTGGGTAAATACAAATCTGCAAGTGACGCTCAAACAAGCTCAAGCACGATAGTTGTTCTGTGACCCCAAATTGCATAATGTTGATATCAAGATTTAAGCAATTAAGTTATTTTAGTCTATTTTTTTTTTATTTTTTTTTTTCAAAAAAAGAGGTGTTTTACTTCGCAATGGTGTCTCGCTTACTTGCATATGACTCATGACATTCAAATTACAGTCAAATCCTGCATCAGTCCAAAAAGGGCATTTAGTCATGGAGAAAAACAAATGGACCGTGTACATGGACTAGAGGCCAACCTAGAACTGGACTTGACCCCTGTAATGGCCATTGTAAAAATATGAGTATTTTATAATTTTACTTTAACAATAATTTTAAAATGAAAGAGTTGAAAGAGATGGAAATGAAAGAGAGACGCTTTTAGCTTTAGCCAATTTGAGATAGGATCCCCATTTTGCATCTGCAATATAAGGGGTCAGAAATCTGCAGCTCCTGAGCAGCAAGAGATTTTTTTAGCTCTGCTAATAATAAACATTGAAACTATTGCCCTTTAAAACCATAAACTGGCTCCACCTTACCCTTATTGGCAAATTTGGTGAAGGACTGCTCCATTCAGAGCAACAAGTTCAAGTTTCTACCAGTATGATTTGACTTTTTTTGTCAAATTGTGGTTACAGATGTACGTTGAGCTACAATGGGTTACATGTTCACAATGAAAATTAAACTAACCTGCTCTGATTTTTCCACTCTGTGACTGTTTTTCCTCTTCCAAAAACGGGGGCCTTATATGGATGCACAGCTGGAATGACAAAATAACTTTTCAGTCACATGTAATTTCTTTTCCATGTTGATAGGCATGGGCAGTTCTAGACAGGGGCCAAAAGGGGTCAGTGCCCCTGTAAAACTGGTCCTCGTCTCTGTTATTATAATTGATAATTATAATAACAATTAAT